ATAGTCCTCTTTTCTGTGTTGCGCACACATTTTGAAGTGACCGCTCTGAGGAGACAGCAGCAGGAGGATTGCAATAATGTGTCCAAAGCAAGCAGCAGCTCTGTGACCAGATCCTTTTTAGGTATGGCTCTCTTTCATGCTGCCCTCACTGGTGTTCACGTAGCCAGACAGCCAGGCATCAGTAATGTAACAAAGGTACAAAGTAGGCAGCTGACAGCGGGAGATTAGAAGTAGACTCATTTACACTCCTACTTAATTGGAAATCCAGGCTTAAGTTGGGATATTAAGAGGCAGGGCAAATATATAAATGTATTTTTAGCAGCTTAGCAACAACAAATAACGCATGAGAAAATCCACCTTTTTGCTTCGTTAAACATGCTCTTAAAGCAAGTGTTTAAAGCACTCTTCCAAACAACTTTAACTGGCTGTGAAGGACGGTTTATTTCTTAGCCAATCAACCTGTCACTCAGATCAGACACTCAGCACTTCCACAGTGTTCTACGGCTTCAGGCCTTAGGTTGCCATGTCTGCACACTGTTAGGCTAATAGGACAGAGAGCCCCGTGGAAATACAGCAATCATTTCATTTTTGGACATGAATTGATTGCTTGACATGCTTGACACTTGTTGGTTGCTTGGGCCCTAATTAATCCACACATCTTAGTCCTACTGTAGCCTGATTAACGTCTCTGAGAACTGTTGTTGATATATATATTCTGTGTCCTGGCTACTTTTGTTTCATTGTAGCTTTGTGAGTTCCTAGTTCCGTGATACCTCCACCGAAGCTTTTTTCTAGGAATGCGCCAGACGGCAACCTACGGTTCTGAAAAGTCATTAGTAGTTTTAATGATGTATAATTAGCTGTTTAGAGGTATTGTAAACAGCTCATTATTCCCTCTCTAATATCTATTTATGTTGTTGTGAAAACATCTCCTTCATACAACTGGATTTATTCAAGTTTCTCACTAACACTACATTTTACTAGATTACATGTGAACACATCATCACATCATGATGACTATAATTTACCTTCACCCAATACTTATTTTCACTGAACAGAACCTGAACGCATCATAATGTAACTGAATGGAGCCTTCGTTCATTCGGCCATTAGCAGGAGAGATCGGCGACTAGAAAAGCATGAATGACATTTTCCTGATCGCATATTTTACTAAATATTGGCAGATAACAATCGTCAGTAAAACTTTATTCCCCACTGTGGTGGTTAACATTAAACTGTGCAGTTAATCCGGGGTTCACATGCATGCCAAACCACGAGGGGGATCCTTCCAGATCACGGATCGACAATGGTCCGTTACACCACGACTAAACAATGATGTATAGGGGTACTGTAGTAGAGTTGTAGACTTGTGCCAACCTGCTGGAGGGAATACAACATGCAGGGCTAAGCAAGGCTCTCACCGTGAGAGAAAGAGCCCACATTCAAACCTGAAGGACGGTTTAAGAGCAATCATTTGAGGGCCAGTTAGTACGTAGCTGTCCAGCCACATCTCTTTTTGTTTTTTTATTGGCTGCGCCGAGTCAAACGATGCCGCGCTGATTTTTATTACTAGTTTAAACGTGACGGGGTAAAAAGTGGGTTGTGGTGATATCTCGCCAACGTTGCGTCTTCAACTCTCAGTACTTTCGTAGCTTCCTGCTGCATCTCTGTGGTTAGAAGTTCAGTTTCTCTCCTGTGTACCTGTTTGTACTTTCATATATCTGCTTCATTTTGATGACTCTTTCAGCTGTGTAGGAGTCACGTTAAGTTGCTGCAAATGCAAATTTGACATTTCCTCAGGGCGTGCAGTTAGTGACAGTGAGGGCTCCATCATAACATAGCTCTGACAGCTTGACAAATCATCGGGCGGGGCTTAGCGAGGGGTCAATGGTCGCATGGGGCATCGAGATGACCATGCTGAGCTGACCCTTCTCTATACCTGCGTCTGTTCATATTGCAACAGGAGAGCAGACATCGGTACAGGCTGGAGGAGAGTTGTCGTAGGTTGACGTGGTGACGCCGAGCACAGGGGGCTCCTGGAAATGCGTGTCAGCTGTTGGCTTTGAACAGGCGTTACACCAGTTGTTTCATCAACATCTCGCAAGGCTTGGTGAGGTGGACTAATAGCTATGACACAAATTTCGGTTGAATCACGTTGTTGCATGCGCTTTTTTTTTTTTTAAACGGGGTTACGGACACAGTGACCCTACTGATGTATCTAGACATAATCATCAACTGCGTCTGTTGCCCCCACTGCATACCATTTGTTGAGCTTAAGCAGCGGCTCACTGTGGCTAATGCCTTTTTCACTGTTGCCCAGCCTTTAGAACAAAATGCCATCTGGAATTCGGACAGAGAAGAGGAATTATGCTCTAAACCGCTCCACAGCCTGCGTTGTGCAAGCTAGACCACCGTCGGCCACAGCCGCTTCCTCATGCACGCCGTGTTTTTACTGCCTCGTTATTTCACCGCTGCTGTGGGATCATGGGTGAAATGGGATAAACACACCTCAGGGACAACTCCTCTCCTGGAGAGTACATGACCCTGGTGGCTGTGACAGACATGACGGAGGACAGCTCCATAGAGCGGTCAACCGTGCTGGTGGAGCGCAGGTGTGTCTCGAGATTGAATTCTGTATGAACGGGTTTAAAATCCAAAACAAGCTAAATACATTCAAACGTCAATTGACCAAGGCTTTTCGCTTAAAAACAAATGCTCTTAAAAGCAGCGTGAGCTGGAGTCCAGCTCATTCCGCTTTGCTCTCTTGAGTGATCACTCACTCAGTTTAATTAAACACAGCACTGCTTAGCCTGAGGCCAAGGCCTGCAGCAGTGACGCCAAGCCGAGTCTAAAGTTAGGGCCAGCACAACTCAGATAGCCGAGCCTGTAGCTAAAAGCTTTTCACAATCCGCGTGACAAGTCTTGATCGTGCGTTTCGGCCACAACCAAAAGTTTCTGATGTGTATGTCCATTTCTGCCAACCCCATTAAGTGTTAAGGGCATCTGAGCATCTGAGCTTAATTGGAAAGTTACTTAAAAATCCTCCTCATGGTAATTACCTCAGAGCTGCCAACATTTGACTGGAGCTGCGGCTGCTGTCTTTTTTCTTCTTTTGCTTCCTCTCAGACAGAGTGATTTGGCTCTGCTTCACTGCTGAACAAGGGGAAATGAATTCACAGATGTTTTCATGTGATTGTAAGTACTTGTAGTGTGTGTGTGTGTGTGTGAGAGTGAGAGAGAGACTGACTGCATACTATAAAGTAGTGACAGGAAGGTGTCTGCCGTCCTAGCTACATGCCGGAGGCTCTTTCTCACCCTCCTGCTTTTAGCACGGTTCACACTGCTGGAACAAGGTGTGTGTGTGTGTGTCTCTGGTTGCATAAAGTATGTATGGCCCAGTGCTTCTGCATGTTGAGAGTTTGCTTTCCCAGGGTGCAACTAGCCTTGAGTATAAGCCCACATATGCGCAGGGGAATTGATTTGACATTCATTACACTGTTGGCACACCCACGTTAGCGTGACAACGTTGCGCATGAGAGCCTAGTTTTGGATTTTCGATGAAATAGACCTAATGTGCTCGCGACCCCTTCTTTGTTCCAGCTGTGAGGAGATGGGATTGGTTAAAATGCCACGGGAGAAAGAAAGTGCTGACATTTACTTGTAGGACTCTCACACTTCCCTCCGTCCCTGAAACTCATCCCACTTCCCCTTAAGGGGGCGACCGTGGCTCACTGGCTTAAGAGGGTTGTCTGGCAACCACAGGGTCAACGGTTCGATACTCGACTGGGATGTGTCACGTGTCGAAGTGTCCCTGAGCAAGACACTGAACCCCGGCTCCCCGGGCGCCTGTCATTGGCAGCCCACTGCTCCCTATATACAGGGATGGGTCAAATGCAGAGGTCAAATTTCGTGTATGTGTATATGTATATGACAATAAAAAGGGGTTTCTATTCTATTTCTATTTAATTGTCTCCTGGTTTCCATTCTGTGGCGTCTTTTCCACTGGAGTCAACCTTTCTTAAGACGGTAGGAAGAGAGGATAGAGGCATGGAGGGGAAACATCAGCTAATCTGCAGTGTTGGTCGGTGCCTTGGGGTTTATATTTGAACAGATTATATAATCCACAGCCCAAAGAATAAGAGCCGACAGTCACTAATATTACCTCCCACAAAGTCTCACAACCCATCGGTTATTGGTCTGACCAAATTTTACATAACGGCAAAACCATAGAATTACAACTTCCTGGTCCGTCACATGATGCCATTGGGCCCAAAAAAGGCTTTTTACCAAACGTTGTGATATAGACGGGTTGTTCGTCCGTCTGTTCCATTCTCATGAACGCAATAGCTCAGGAACACCTGGAGGGAGTTGTTGCACAAGCAGATTGCATTTCTTCCAATGCTTTACGCCTCTTTTGCAGCTTGAACGTGATTGGTCAATACTTCTTGGACTACGAACAGAAACCAGAGTGCTTCCAGGACCTAAATCTTGTCCCTTTGCCTACAGATTCTACATAAGAATCCATAATCTGTTTATAGAGATTACTTCCCACATGACTAAACCTCATTCAGAACCTCACTCATTTAGACTTTGTGAAGATTCGGAAGTGTTTCATCTCAACTCAACTTTTCCAGTTTCTTGTTTTGTTGACGTTTGAGCACATTCAAATGTCCGTGGCTGCTTTTGTAGATTCCACAGGGTGTGTTTAATGACTATATGTCACACAATATCATATTAAAAAAGCACAAAAATGTGACTTTGAGAGTGTCTGACTGGAGATATTACTACTACTGTTTTTTTTACATCTAAATCTTAAATGATAATCCATATTATGTCACCAGTGTTTCACATGGTCCAGAAAGAACTTGGTATTCTATCCATTTTGAAATGTTTGTGATATGTGTACGGTTTGATCTTGTAATAGAAACAAATACAAATAAAAGCACACCGGCAGCACACCTGGATTCAGATCGTCTTCTGTTTGGTTCCCTCTGCCTCAGATATCTGGAGTCTCGGTGTGATCCTGTTCATGTTGGTATGCGGCCAGCCGCCGTTCCAGGAAGCTAACGACAGCGAGACTCTCACCATGATCATGGACTGCAAATACACCGTGCCGGCCCACGTCTCCAGCGCCTGCAAAGAGTGAGTGATACACACACACAGCGGTGCTCGGTCTACTCCGCTTCTGATAGAAACCATTGAAGAATACATCTCTCTGTGTCAGGCCTATGCTGTGGTATGGAGGACAGCACATCACATAAAGCTGACACGGCCTGTTGACCTGTAACCACTCTGCAGTTACCGCAGCTTGCACACCTGATCCCAGTACGGTTAGCTCACATTGTGCTGTGACCGTAGAACATGTCTTGTATACTAAATGTTACAACACAATCGTTTCACTTTGTAGTAAAGCTCAACTATACAGGGCCAATGTTTTCGTCTTGTAACTTTAACCCTTTCACGGCGTGTTTTCTCTTCATTGAAGTTAATCTTAACAGTTTTGGTCTCCAAAAATGTCTTATTCAGCATTTGGTTCTGCTTAGCTCCACCCTCTCGTGCCACTATTGTTTGCAAAAAAACCAAGATGGCGACGGCCAAAATGCCAAACTCGAGGCTTCAAAATAGTAGTCCACAAACCGATGGGTGATGTCACAGTGACCACGCCCACTCCTTTGTCCGTGGTTTAACTACAGCAAAGTCGATATCAACACAGTGTGTTCATCCACACTGGAACATCTTTTTGTGTGCCTTGTATCTGTATATATATATATATACTGTACAGATAAATACTGTATGAACCGTAGGCTGTGAAGCCTCAGCATTTCAAAAATGTTAAATCTCAGTCATTTCAGTTATTTGTAGTTTTCTGGCACACAGCAATTAAAATGATCAGCCCACCTGTGGAGCTCGACCCAGGCACCGGCACTCTGCAGACCACTTTGCTCCAGTAGCTGGCAGAGACCAGAAGCCTTCGAGCAGCTGCAGAGCAGCACAGTCCAGCTACACACAAAACAAGCACATGTCCAACCCCCAAAGTGAGTGAGGCAGTTAGGCAGATAAATTAGCACTCGCGTAATTCCCCATGTGTGTTTGTAAATCACTAATTTTGTACTAATTAATTCTTTCCAGATGCACGGGGGGTATAGATTCCAGCATGTGGCCAGAATTAATCAAGAAAATGTTCTGCTCTCCACATCGAACGTAACCAGAGTGCAGACCCTTGTGTATCCACTATTTACCTTATTTATACCTTATTTGGTATCACAACATTGAATTTAGTGGCTCAGAAGACCTGCTGCAGGATTGCCTGTGAAAGACAGTCGCTCACATCCTGCGTGTGACAGTGGATCGGCTTACACACACTTTTTAAAGACAAGAGAAGCTCCTGTTATTTCAGCTCAACACCTGTACGTGTTTTGGATTGACCCAATGGGGAAATGGGTGGATGTCATGAGCAATGGCACCAGAGCCTGTGCGCTCAGCATGTTGTTTTTTTCTTCTTCACATTCTCACTGCTGCACATCGGAGTATTTTTAGACACAGGAAATAAACGCTCATCTCCTCCGAGTCCAAGGAGAGATGCGGCTAGATTGAAGTGCTAAGCTGAAGCAGCTGTGATCAATCTGATGGGCTTTGGCTTCACAAGCAGAAGAGCTATTTGTCGCATGCTGTGTCCAGAGCTTTAGCTTTCGTTTTGTTCTCGTGGCGTCACTCACGGGTGAATTAGCCACACATGTCACAGGTTTGGGGATTTCCAGCCAGCCTCCGCTGATCCTGCAGGGCTTCGTCGTGCTAAAGTGCGGCGTTTGTGTGGCTTCACCTCATTCTCTTAACGTTGGCAATTAGAGAAACGGACGTAATCAACCATTGTTAGCTACCAGGTGTGGATTTCATACGTGACGAAGGGGGTTGGAGGACAGTACTGCAAAAACAAGAAGCAAAGACAAATCAAGTGTGTGCATCTCAAAACGAAGGATGTAGTATGTAAACGTAGTTGGCACTGAAACCTGGTCTTGGTTAGAGATGGGTATCGTTAGCATTTTATCAATACTAGTATTCTTAGCGATACTGCTTATTGGTTCTTTTTGATTCTTTTTTGGGACAGTAACTTAAGAAAAGAATCAACATTATTTTATTATTCTTGTATGTAACAGTCTTTCTTGAGCAGCAATACAGGAAGTTCTAAAATATTTTAAATACATCCGAACATAACCTTTAAAGGACCAATAGCATAACCATTAACTCTGGACCTTATTAATTCTTATTGTTATTCATTATTGTCAATACTCCAGGTTTTTACTAATTTATAACCGGGTCGGGGTCCGGATTTGACTCTGAGATAATTGCGGGCTGATGTTTCGGTACTGGACTCTGGCGTAGGGCAGCTTGTGTGCACGTGAAGCTCACGGGTCACGTTTTTCCGGCCCCTCTAGCTGGTTAGATTAAGTAGCATTAGAAAATATATTTTTAATTGCAGCTTTTGCGATTTGAACATTGCGTTCTATTACATCACAATGTCTGCTGTAATTCAATGAATCATTCTGCTCTGCTGAACAACATGCCTGTTGCACCACTGATGCCCCACGATACGTCTGGAGTACTACACCATTGTGTGTGCGCGAGCGCGTCTTTATTTCTTTCCTGGTCATTGTGGGAATTCTAGCAAGAAATGCACTTCTATGTAGAGCTGCTGACACAAGTGAAAAGAAACTGCCTTGTTGAAATACCAACATGTTTAATGAAGAGAGGGCGTCGTATCAACACCGTGGCCACCTGGAGGAACACCTGTTGTTTCTGCACCGCCTGCTCTCTGATTGGAAGAGCGGAGCTCGTCTGCCGCCTTGTGTTTTAAGGGCTGTAAAATGGAGATGAAGGTAGACGGACACAGAGGAGGGGGTGTCACGAACAGATGCATTGTGTGTATCTCGTGGATGAAAACAAAGGGTTTGTGTAATGGAGTGAAAAGTACAGGCGGACGCTGAGAGAACGAAAGAGAAAAGAAAAGTGAAAATGATGCAGAAGTTCAAACCTCTCCATCTCCTCTCCTCGCTGTCGGATCACTTAATGACACAGAGGGGAACCAGAAGATCCAAATCTGTGATATCAGAGACGCCAGGGACTATATCCACCTTCAGTGTAACTTATGCTGGAAGGAGGCATTATCTCCAAAGCAGGACTGTGATGTGATGTAGAGTCTACTCTGTTGTCTGTCCGTCTTAAGTTGAGCAAGCCCTGTTTCAGACTTAGTAGCAAACTCAGCAACTTGGTACAAAGGTTTTCCTCTTTTTTTTTTTAACCAAGTTACTAAATCATGACTCATGCATTACAGAAATTATTATTTTTTTGTATTACAAGTTCCCTGAAAATGTAAGTTAAACTATGCAGAGGAGGCTTTGTTAATGCTGATTTCTGGTGAATGTAGGATAAATCTACACAAGCAAATAGACAAAGTAGTAAAATAAGCAGCTACATGTGTATTTTTGATGTTTTCTCTCCACTAGTCTAAAAGAAGACGATGGAAGCTAAATAACCCAGAATCCCAAGATTGATCAGTGCATTGAAAAGGGTTTTTTGCCTGTAGTGTCTCACCTTAAATGAGTTTTGAAAAAATAGCATGTGGCACTGGTAGCACACCAGCTGATCTATTCAGTTGAGTGGTTAAGTGGCTTGTATTTTACCTACTTATATGCACTCTTTGACAGAAGGAGAGCACAGAGTCCGAGTCGTTGTAAGTTACGAGGTTAGGGGGACACGTTTTGGGTTTTAAACCGGCTCAGTTTTAGACATCGGCATCACAAAGGTCGAGGTTTGTTGCAAGCGTCCTATTGGCTTGTTTTTTCTTTTATGCACTCGTCCTCTAAATAAGAACTCCCATGAGGTCCGCATCCCTGTTTCCTGACTGCCAGTTTTCCTCGACATGTGTGTTTGTGTTCGTTGCTCGTCTCTATGTGAGCGGAGGCCTTTCTACTCTCTGGTCCCCGTCGACTCACCAAAATGCATTTACGGGCCTCAATTAATTAATTATTCATCGCCTCACTCTCCTCCTTCTGAGCTTTGTTTGGTTTTTGTCATCCTTGATTTTGTTCTCAGGGGCTAAGGTTTTATAGAAAAATGTTTGCTTTACACCCCCCCCCCCGATCCACTCATAAAAACAGACGATTGTGCTCCCGTCTCCGTCGCAGCGTGACGTGTGCGTGGCTGTGTTTCTGATCGACCAAACAGAACACGGCGTTCCTTCGTTTCCTGTCATCGCTGTACGAACCACACGGGACTGCACACAAACACTCAGCCCTCCCTCCTCTTGTATTTGTCTCACACACATCACCGACAGATATTGAGTCAGTTCATTGCCTGCTGATATCCATTGTTGGAACAGAGTTTAATATCTACGCCTTGTTTCGATGCACATTTCTCTCTCGCATGTCCTTTTCACACACCAACAGTTTCTCTGGCTCGTGGGTTGGTTGGATGAGCCCTCCTGTGGGAATGTGTGGACTGTTATACACTTGTGTGTGTGTGTGTGTGTGTGTGTGTGTGTGTGTGTGTGTGTGTGTGTGTGTGTGTGTGTGTGTGTGTGCAACTTGTAGAAAAACAGGCTGTGTGACTGCGAAGTACCATCTCTCTGTGTAGGTCCCATGGGACAGAGAAAGAGAGGCAGACGGATGGGACAAGACAGCTGTTTGTATGGTCTCTAGAAGTCACTAGTTATTTGTCACTTGCAATTGTAGCTTTAAAAGTGTACTGCAGCCGTTTCCATTGTTCAAACTGCAAAACATGTATTCATAAATATGAAGAATGAGTGCGAGGGAGGATTTTACACCGTAAATGAAGCGAGCCCGTCTTCACACCTTGTTTGTGGAGCTAAACGGACCCTCTTTGTGAACATTAGATCCGGTGTCTTTGGTGAGAACCCCAGATTAAAGCAGGACATTGTCTCTCCTCTTCTCGGATACCAGGACGGCAACGGGAAGAAGCCGAGCCAAGGTCTGTGTGTCGGGTTAGCGAGAGACATAGGCAAGTGTGCGTATTCTGCTGCAGGCCGTGGTTGTTGCGTTGTGTTAGGGGCCTGTATGTACAAAGTCTGTACAGCCTAGTTGCCTTGGTTTGCATCCATGAAATCGTGTGTGTAGTGTATCAAGTCTGTGTAGGGCTTCAACATATTCAGATACCCGAACTTGCGAATCGGCCGAGACAGACCGATCCGATACCAGTATACCGGACGTTGGCTATCTCTCCTTCTCATTTAAACACAGATTTGTCGTTTACACTGTAGCATTGAACGGCCGCAGCTTTTCCACAAACATTAAATGGAGGCTCGTTGCAGGCCGCACTTCACCGCCACTCTGCCGCTTCACAGGCCATGCAAGTTAGCAAAAGAAATCATTGTTGGTTTTGGTCTGTTCAGGGGAATTGTTGATAATGATTAAGTATTTTGGAAGAATATGGACCAAAGGGCTCACAGATCCACTTGTGCTTATTTTTTAACTTATGCATTATGTTTTGTGGTGTTGTAATGTTAACTTCAGCCTATTAAGTGTTGATTTTAAAAAAGACATTTTTAGGGTGTCTTTTTTAAAATCCAGCCAGATATGACCGATAAGAATGAGCCTTCTAGTCTAAGTCAAGCTGATGAGCATTGACCCTGACCAATAAGATAAAAACCATCAATCACCATCATTAATCCTAATTTGTCTCCATATATGTCCGTGCTTCTCTCCACACTGTATCACTTTGAGTGCGATTGTGGAAACTGCTTGGTAGTACTGCAGTGTTTGCCATCAGTGTGCAGATAGGGGGGCTTCCACCTCTATCTCCCCTCCGCTGCTGCTGCTGCTGGCTGTGGTCCTCAGGGAGCCCTAATCCCCAGCATGACTGACAGACCGCTCTGCCCAGCCTGTTATCCTCCAGCATCCATCCCATGGTCTGCTCCCACTGTAGCACAAATACACTCGAGGACTGGAGAGAGTTGGGGGGGAAAAATGGATTTAGTAAAGCTCAAAATGAGGCACCGGCTTGGTTGCGCAGGTTTCTCAGCTTTAGTCTGTACGTGTCAACATGTGGGTGGATGGGTTTGTTCCACTCCCCTCGTCAATAAAACCAGTCCCTTCCCGTACTCCATGTGGGGTTCAAGTCACCCTACGGTATCGTGGGTCCTGTAGTTCAGACAGCACCTACTGCACAAGGTCTTGACAGTCCAGGTTATGTTACTCCAAATAGATTTGTTCACGTTAAGTTCCCTCATGAAGATCTTCTCCATTTGGAAAAAGTTATGCTTTGTTGTCACACGTTTATGTTTCCCCTTTGTCAGTCTGTCATCTGTCCGCCTTATTGTGCAGATGATAAAGATGGTCTCTGGATGCATGATGTTTTTCCCTATATTAATATTAGTCTTCCCACTAGACTCCATATCCCATCTAATCCTATGAAATTGCAATCTCGGCTTTCAACGGTGTCATTTGTGTTGAATTTAAGCTCCCAGCCGGGCAGCTGTAGTTCCACATCCTCGGCTCTGTCGAGGCTGATGTCTCGTACAGTCTGTCACCGTACATTACAGCCCGCTCCATGCATCCAATGCCTCATCTGCTCCATACGGTGGTTCACAGCGACAAAATGGGCCGTATTGAACTTGGTTACATAACTGGGATTAGTAGAGCTGACCTCGATCATTTAGCATAATCGTTAGATTCTACAATCGAGGGAATTTAAAGCCAAAGATACAAATGTGGCAACAAATGGAAAGCAACCAATTCACTTTCTATCGGCTGGGTTGAGTGTAGTATACACAGCAAGGTTCTAATGTCAGGAGAAAAAAACAGTCTTATTGCTGTTTCTAGCTCATATGAGACCCAGCTGCTGTGTTTTACAAAGTGAAGGTGGTTCTCCATCCCGACCAATTACAGCTTTGTTTAGACTCGCACTTACTCCGCAGACAGAGCAGCAGCTCCGAGCATGAACGGAGGCGTTTCTACTCTGTTATTCTCCGAAAGACCAGAGGGGAGACAAACAAAACGAACTGTGAAGAATCAAGAGACACCAAGTTTAGCTCAGAGATATGCACATAGACTGTAGATGTAACGTGCGCCTCGCTCCGGCTTCACTACGAGTACAAACTCAGCTCAACACTGGCTTTGTGTTTCCCCCGTTGCATTTTAACTTTTGAAAATACAAACAAAGCCTCGTTCTACATGAATATCTGTCTTGAACCAGGTGTTCTGGACACCTGGTTGGCCTACGCAACAGTTTCACAACAAGCTATTTAAAATACATCTGTGTGCAGCGAGAGACGAAACATTGTTTCAGCAAACTATTTGAAGATTAGTTGACGATCGCATCATCTCGGTGGGCAAATATTAACATGGATTTATGTATCGTTACAAACACAATACATTGCTGCGTGGCATAAAATGAAACGGAACAGAAAGATGTAATCTTTAATCACCACTGTTTGACAATTGTGACAGCCCCAGGGGTAAGTCATAAAAAGCGGACTCTGATGGACATTAATTATGTGAGTAACTTTGTTTATGAGGTAAAAGACGCATCACTCTGTAACACCGATTGACCTTTTCACTGCCTCTCTGTTGTTGTAGGGCAAGCAGCTCTGGTCCAACATGATCTTCAATGGAAGAGGCTCATTTAGGATGCTTTGGGTCTACAGCAGAGAGTGATGCACCTTCTCTCTAGTTGATCGCATCACGTCAGTTTCAGGAGTCGCATCCTCCCACTTAATTCATATCATGTCGATAATTTAAGTGTATTAACTTTTATAGTTGCTTTATTTTAGCTTCATAAAAATGGTTAATCTCTGCCGCAAATACGAAAGAAAAACCCAGCCCCCGAAAATCTTCTGATCAGACAAACTGAAGCAACAGATCAGCACTATTAGGGCAAGAGTGGTGCGACGGTGTTAACACAGTGAGAAGCAGAGCAGAGCCACACCAGTCAGCTGTCAATCGTTCTGACAACGCGGTCCTGATGGGTCTCTTCCCTCAGGCGGAAGAGACAGCCAGCAGAGCAGGTGGCGACCTTTAAGCACCTGGGAAGCAGTCAGTAAGCTTCTTCACAAGCATGCACCTGGAGTCCTCAACACCCAGGAGCCCCTATGCTCTCACCGCCGGCATCAACCAGAACCGGTCTATCGGGTTTCTTTTTCAACGCGACCGTGTGATTGGATGCCATGCGGAATTACGAGTGACAACATTGTTCGGCTTGTTTTCCATAACAAGTGTAGCACAGCACATGCCCCTTCACTTCTTTCTGTGGACTTGAAAGCGTGTGGATGAAGCATTACATTGTGCTCATTTAGCACCTGGCTAGTTAGCTAGCCAGCTTGCTAATTCCACCATGCTTTCATGCCACACTGGGTACAGAAAATGAGCCGGATAGTGGGCCGGTGTCGCTGCGTCGAGCCGTTCGTCATAGAGAAGTGGGTGTGGTTTAATCTAAAGTGGGTTAGAAAAACAATAGACTCAACCAGAACCGAATGTCCAGTTGGTGTGATTGAGACCACGTCCCTCACAACACTCGCATAAATATGATGTGATCATTTCACAGGATTTCTGTGTCTCTTGAATTCCGATACATTTTAAGCGTGTGCTCTTTCTCTTTTATCCTCCTTCTCCTCCTACCCCTTCACTCTCGTCTCCTCCATGCTCCAGTCTGATAGACCGCATGCTCCAGAGGGATCCCAAGCGACGGGCCTCCCTGGAGGAGATTGAGAGCCATGCCTGGCTGCAGGGGGTCGACCCGTCCCCGGCCACCAAGTACAACACTCCCCTGGTCTCCCATAAGAGCCTGTCGGACGAGGAACACAACAGCATCATCCAGCGCATGGTGCTCGGAGACATCGCCGACCGAGAGGCCATAGTGGAGTAAGTTGTGTGATGTCTGTCTCTCTGGTGTTCAAACAGCAGTGTAGAGCTCAAAGACGTGCTTTCATCCTCGTAACATTGGCACCCTTGGTTTGCATAGTCGCTGTTACGCCCTGCCTTTCATTTGGCCATTTGCCAAGTATATTAAAATGTGACGAGCACAAACAGAACTGCAGAATCTTCATCAGTCACAACTGCTCATGAAAATTCTTTCCTTTGCTAATAAAATGACCAAAACTACTTTCAATAGCAACGAAGGAGATGAGCGGGCGTTGGTGCATGTACAGCACAGACATTTATTGGACATGATTTATTCAACTTAATTTATGTTATTTTATGCATTTCTGCTTCAATGATCGCTAAGTATCATAACCCGGGCCGTGGGTTGTGACAATAACGGGAACGGACATATAGACAGCAGATATAAGACATTTCTTCTAATACAGAAGATAAACTGAGAGGTATATCCAGATGTGACCTGTTAGTCAGTGACATCTGTAGTGTTCATGTGGATGTGTGCGTATAATGAAGTCTGAGGTGTAAAAAACAAAAGGCCAGAAATAAGTATATTCAATCTATACACTGTATATTTATATGTCCTTTGGAGCACTGGGCCCAGGTGTTACAGATGTGGCAGGACACAGCTCAGGCTCCTACAGCACCTAAAGACAGGATAGGTAGACACAGTAACCGACACAAGCAGACTAAGCAGGGACCATCACACAGGGTACTGAGTAGAAATATGCAGTTGACGTTACAAAGCCAATCTACTGTAATTAAGCTCTTGTGTCTTTGATTGGCCAATTGAGGGGCAAGTAGGTCACCAAGGGCTCTAAAAGGCTATCTGTCTATCTATTGAAATATAACACTGTCATCAACTCCCTCCTGCTCAAACACAAGTGGATTCAAAAGCCTTGTACAAAACCACTGGTAATTCAGTGGATTTTCACACACACACACACACACACACACACACACACACACACACACACACACACACATCAATGAAAACCAGACCCACAGCCCGCATACAGCCACATGTGATTACTTTGATTTAGTGCTTCACAATATACCGATACTAGAAAGGTTTCACAATTCAGTCTGTATTTACTGGAGTTCAGCCTTTAAAAAAGACATTTTCTCTGCGGTCAAAACCGTTTGCTCCTCCACTTGCTGCCACACACACACACACACACACACACACACACACACACACACACACAC